ATATCAAGATGATACCTAAATAATAATAACCACTTCCAATTAAAAAAAAAAAAAAAAAAGCGAAAACAAAAATAAAGATGGAGTGTGTAGTTAAAAATTCGGTTATAGGTCAGGGGATACTTATGCATTTTCCCCTTTGTAGAACTTGAGATATTAGGAAAAAGAATTATCTCCATAACTTTCTTGAACAAGGATATAAAGTTCTGCTATTTTGACATTAAAATTATTATATTATCGGGAAAAAAAAAAAGCAAAGCAAATACTGGTGCGTATTTAAGGAAATGTTGTCATTCGCAAGTCAATGCACATGTCTTGACCATGCAAAATGTTAAATGATCGGGTCCATTTGTCTGGTAAAATAATTTTTTATTTTTATTTTTTCTTATCCAAAATCAAATCCAAGCAATCAAAAGAGGGGGAATCAATTGACTCCTTCGTCAGAAAAGTATAATATTTAGCTAGATTGAAAATTTATTTTTATGTATATATTATACGTCGATTCTCCTTTATTTTATTTTTTTATTGCAATTACTTTTTAAATTTGACACTTTTTAAGTAAATTCCTGCTTCGCTACTGCTCACACCAACTATCAGAGTTCAAAATTGAGTAGACAAAGATTGATTTAAGTTCCAAGTTCAAGACTTTCACAATGTTGTGGATATAGATGTTTCTAAAAATACGAAAAACTGAATCAAACCGAACAAACCAATATAATAATCTAGTTCTTTACCTTTACATTTTAATTTGATTGATAGTTTTCTTTTGTTAAGTACAAAAATCTAATTTATGTTAAAAATAATTTATTTTTAATTGAGTCCTTAAATTATTCATCACTATTTGATTCAATTATCATTAATATATTTTGGTAAATGATAGATTTCTCAAAGAGCAATTAGTTTGATAGTGTTATATGTTAAAAATGTATTTGCCGGAATATAGGCTTGGCAGTGTACCTCTCATATTTAAGAAAAAAAAACTACTAATAAATAATCGAAAATCCGACAAAAACCGACATAAAACGAATCGATAAAAAAATCGACTTAATTTGTTTGGTTTGATTCCAATATTTGGAAAATCGACTTACCTGGTTTGGATTTTTTTACGGAAAAATCAATCCAAATCGAACCATGAACACCTCTAATTATGGATATATTAGCCAAAGGAATTTCACCACTTCCTCTCTATAATCTGAGTAATCTCAGTAATTTTCTAGTAGATTATCTCTAATATACTCTCTATTAGATTTTCTAGGGAAATGTACGTCACTCTATAATGCTAAGGATCAATCAAGTCATCTTTTAATGTTTTCATGAACTACAGACCTTTTTTTTCTTTCTTTTGCTCCCCAAAGAAAAAAAAAACAAATATGTAAACGCAAATTAGAGACATGCCAGAAAATAAAAGTTTAAAAGCAAACTTGGGAATAACCTAATCCAGCACACCAACATCCTCTTATATGACATCTGAAATTTTGGAAAATAAGATAGTGTGAGTCAAACACTTAAAGGTATAAATTATGCGGAAAAGGCCTAAAAATGCCACTCAACTTTCAGAAATGGTCTATCCATGTCATTCGTTAAAAAAATGTTCATTTCATGTCACTGCTGTTACACATTTGGCTCATCCATGCCATTATTGACTAACGACAGTGGCATGGATGGGCCAAAAAAAAATTGAGCCGTTAGTCAATAATGGCATGGATGAACCAAATGTGTAACGGCAGCGGCATGAAATGAGCATTTTTTAGCGGATGACATGGATAAACCATTTCTGAAAGTTGAGTGGCATTTTTAGGCATTTTCCGTAAATTATGAGAACTAAGATATTAATAGTTACTACAAACTAAAAGACGTACGTATAACTTGAATACCTGAAGTTCTGATATCAAATTATGAAGCGATTTTGAAGCCATTCAGTGATTCTTGAAAGCCATTTCAGCTTTCCAGTTGAAATCATGAAATATAATATGGATAATCCAATACATAGTCCACTTCCATATCCCATTAGAGCAGCTTTCCAAAAATCATTGAGAAATTCCGAAGTGCTTTCTTGATCATCTAGCGTAGATACAGTATTATTTGTCTCTGATACCCTATCATTGCCACAACCTTTCGAAATCGGAAATCCACGTAATCCATCATTACCTTCATACGAGTTATTTTCAAAGGTATGAAATTGAGGTCCTTGAGGAATACATCCTTGGAGATGATTGTAGGAGAGATTTAAAACTGCAAGAGATGTCAGCTGAGAAGCAATTTGTTGTGGTATCTCTCCCGAAAGCTGATTAAACGAAAGGTCCAATGATTCGATTACAAATAGATTTCCAAGTGATGGTGGTATATGACCTTGCAATCCATTACGAGACAAATTCAGCACCCGAAGTGCAATGAGTTCTCCCATAATACTTGGAACATGCCCTTCAAATCTATTACTTGAAAGATCAATAATGATATAAACTGTCAAAATTCGAACCAGTTTAAGCTCCAGTCCCTTGGTTGTAACTGTTACAGAATAATTGTATTCTCTGATATCTGCTCCAAATTTACCAAGATATGTTGGTTCCTTAACTGTTTGATCAATTTTCCTCATGGCTTTCAATTGTTGAAACAAACTTGTTGGTATGTTTCCTGTGAAGGCATTGTATGAGAGATTTATAATTCTAAGCTCAAGAAACATGTTTTCATCCTTTGATGTTCTAATAGATCCATACAATTTATTCGATTTCAACCTTAATACTTGTAGCTTTGGTAGAGTTCCCAACCACATTGGGAATGTGTCGTTAAGGAGATTATCTCCTAAATCAAGAACTTGCAACTCTTTGCAATTGGCCAAAGATCGGGGAATTTTCCCCTCTAGTTCATTCTCATGCAAGGTGAAGCTTCTGAGTACACTTCCGATCCTAAAAGTTGTTGGAAGAGTCCCAGAAATACCGTTCTTATGGATATCCAAAACCTCAAGATGACCACCCATATCGCCAAAACATTGTGGAATTGATCCTTTCAGATTGTTTCTACTCAAATCTAGAATTCGTAGTGATGTTAGATTGCAAATAGACGAAGGGATCTCTTCACTGAGATTATTATCTGGTATTTTCAGAACCTGGAGGCGACTGATATTAATTAGACATTGCAGAATGTCACCCTTCAAGCTGTTTCTCCCCAAGGACAACACTTTCAATGACATCAAATTGCAGATAGATAAAGGAATTTCCCCAGTGAGATTGTTGCTTTCGAGAAAGAGATATTGCATGTTTCTCAAGTTGCCAAAGGAAGCAGGAATCGAACCATTGAGTTGATTATCATGCAATTTCATATAATTAAGGTTTTTCAAATTCCCTAATTCACTAGGAATGGGACCAGAAAGTTGGTTAGCATAAAGATACAAATACACCAAGTTGTCCAAATTCCCTAACGAAGAAGGAATTGGGCCAGAAAGATGATTTTCATAAAGAGACAAACTGGACAAGCTCGTCAAATTCCCCAATGAAATAGGAATAGAACCATTAAGAAAGTTAGTATACAAAGATAGCACAGCAAGAGTCCTTAGGTAACCTATTTCTTCAGGAATAGAGCCAGAAAGTTGATTGTGTTCAAGCTGCAAAATTGACAAGCTGGTCAAATTCCCCAATGAAGCAGGAATTGAACCAGTAAGAAAGTTAGTATTCAATCTTATATCAGTAAGAGTCCTTAGCTGACCTATTTCATCAGGAATGGAGCCAGAAAGTTGATTTTCATAAAGATACAATAGGGACAAGTTGTGCAAATTTTCCAATGAAGCAGGAATAGAACCATTAAGAAAGTTAGTATTCAAATCTAGTTGAATAAGAGACGATAGATAACCTATTTCTTCAGGAATGAAGCCAGAAATGTTATTTTTGTAAAGACACAAAAGGGACAAGTTATGCAAATTCCCTAATGAAGGAGGAATAGAACCATTTAGAGTATTAATACTCAAATCTAACTCTGTAAGAGACCTTAGGTGACCTATTTCTCCTGGAATGGAACCATTTAAATGGTTGTCCAATATGTGGAGGGTCTGAAGCTTAGCAAGTGAGCCTATTTGTGGTGGGATTGTGCCTGAAATCTGATTGAACGACAAGTCAAGATAAACAAGATTAGTGAGTTTACCAATTTCAGGTGGGATGGAGCCAAAGAGCTGGTTCATACTAAGATCAATATATTCAAGAAAAGGGAGAGATGAAAATGGAAAATTGTTGAGCGTCCCAATGACACCAGCATATGGAATATCCAACTTGCTTACCCTGCCATTAAAGCATACAACTCCATACCAGCTCTTGCATGCTTTAGAACTTGGTGTCCATGAAACCAATAAGGAATTGCTCTGGTTTTGGAGAGTTGCTTTCCATTTTAGGAGGGCAGTTGCTTCCTTAGTGGAAGCAAAAGTAACTGTGAAGAGGCAGAAAAGAGTGAAAAAATGAAGTAAAGAAAATAATTTGCCAACCATCATCATATATTGCTAAACAATTTTGAGTTGGATTATTTTTTGTTTTTGAACAATGAATTTGGTGCAGGGTATAGTTTTATATTATAGTAAATCATGAGTAATATAATATAGGGCATAGAATCAGAAGACTTCCAAGTCAATGTGTCTTTGTCTCTCTCCAGTAGGAAAGTAATTACAGACCAAGGAATTATTAAAATGTGTTTGGCGATTACTTTTCAATTGGTCAAAGCTTAAACAGAAAAGGCCTAAAAATGTCACTCAACTTTCATAAATGGTCTATCCATGTCATCCGTTAAAAAAATGCTCATTTCATGCCACTGCCGTTACATATTTGACTCATCCATGCCATTATTGACTAACAGCTCAATTTTTATTTGGCTCATTCATGCCACTGCCGTTAGTCAATAATTGAAATTGCATCCAAATATTTTTTTTCAAAGTATAAACATATTTCTTTTAATTTTCAAGTCCTTACACAGAGTATTGCCGTTGAAATTTTAAATGAAAGTTATTTAATGCACAAATCTCTTTCACTTTGAATTTATGTTACTACTAATTAAATGAAATGAAATATAGAGGGGAAAGTCAAGCAACTATAAATGCGTTCTTATCAAATTATCAATCAATTCAAAAGTTTAGAAAATGTTGTTATTATCAAGTCAATGCACAAGTCTTGGGAGGGAAATGTCAAATTTAGCTCTTTTTGTCTAAGAAGGTATAGTGTTTTGTTTTTGGCTTTTTTATTTTTTCTTGTCCGAACACATCGAAATTGTTATTTTTTATTGAATAAAAAAAACAATAAACACAAAATAGATTCCCTCAAGCCACTGTATCCAAAACCAAATCCAGGCCATTATTTCACTTGAAATTAATACTCCTCCGTCCTCAAACTAGCTATATATTTTTTCAAACTTCAAATTCTCTATGTGAAATAAATACTTATTTGATACGCTTTCCCTGAGAGAGACGAGTTTAAATTAATTCAATATAATCAATGAAGATTTGTATAACTGATTCCTAACTTATTCGAAATTGAGATATTGTGTGATATACTCTCTACAAGATTATCCTATATCTCAAGTCATAAGTCCCAATTAGAGGAGCATTGTAAAAGGAGCCTTATTTTCAAAAAATAAAATGTCAAGCACAAGAAGCCTTATTCTTTGAAGTTAAATAGTTTGGAGCTATTATATTCCCTTTAAAATTATTTAGAAAGACATTCAAAGTTGAAAATATGTGAAAGATAATAAAGCAAGTAATATTACAAATGGAAACGTAGAGATGAGATACATGTTACAAAATAAAGAATAGAAGTGCACGCAGGAATAGCCAAATCCATTACTTCACCACCAAAGGATGTGGTGCAGTGTACGGGGCTGCTCTTCAAGACTTTTCCGAATGGGGCCCTACACAGCGCGAATCCTAATATAGTCCGCTCCAATGGGGGTACCGGACACCGGGTGAAAAATAAAAAAAACAAATAAATCCAGTCCTTTTCTTATCCTTGTTATCTAAAAGTTCGATAAAATAAGAGAGTGAGTCAAACACTTTTAAATTACTTATAAGTCCCTAAAAAAGACTCACTTAACGACTACATTATGGATGTTATTGTCCTTGTAGGAAAAGAAATTTTCAATTTATAGAGGTCACAACCTTTTTTTTAAGAAAGAGTTTAAATATAGAAGAGATATATATATATATATTTTCTTATATGAAACTGCAGAAAAGGAGATTTGGTTCACTGAAAATTAAATTTAGTAGAAAAAGAAAAAGGGCAGAGAGCATTTAATTCAAACAAGGACAGTATCAAGTGGCCAAGTTTTGTTTTGTTATTAGATGAAAATGACCACTCTGTCTTAGTATATGGCACAAACATGTTTGATATTCAGTCTTAGAACAATAAGCTCGAGTAAATTTCTCAAATGAATTATCTCTAATATATACCGTAATTGTATAAAATGCAGGTACAAACACAACTTCGAAAAATAATAATTGAAATTTAAAATTATGTTTGGACATGCATTTCACTCGAAAAAATATTGTAGTTTCGTGAGTGGAAATAAATTCCGAAAATTTTGAAAATGTGGTCAAAACCACTTTTTGGTTTTTGAAAAATCTCCAAAAGCTTATAAATTGTCATGAACAAATACATTTAAAAAAATCGGCAAAAATAATAAAAAATAAAAAATCTATGAACAAACGAATCCTTAGAATCCATAGTAAACTCTGGATGAACAGCTCATTAAGTGATGAGTGAAAATATTATTGATTTCCAAGTCTTGCTGTGAAAATTTCAAATGAAAGCTACTTAATATACACATTCCTTTCACTTTGAATTTTCATATTGATTTTACTACTCATTAAGTGAACGTATTGTTTACTCTAATTTTCGTTGCCAAGGATCATGGGTTAGTATATAACCAATCACTCAATTCTTGTTGTTTTGAACTATAAAAAGAGACCCCATTGTTTTGGTGTTGCTCCCCAAGGATAAACAAAAGGTAATGTTTCCACTAGATGATGGTTTAAGTGATTAGAAACAGAATTAGAATTTGATGCTTATGGATTCAAGATTTTTTAGTTTTTTAAGCTATTGAATTTTAAATTAATAATTTGTACATATTGATCGTCGGAATTTCAAAGAATCCATTTTTTCCAGCGCAAAATTATTTTCAGGTGACAAGATTTTTTGTCCAGACGTCGTCGATGTATGTTGTATTCGATGGAACCTCATGTAAAGAAGAGAAGAAAAGAATATTATAGAAAAAGGCAAAGAAAAAGAAAAGAGAAAGGTAAGAAGGTATATATTTAATTAAAAAAATCTGCTCCTCACTCTCTTTGAAATACACACACTGCCACATAAGCCTTTAGGATGTAAATAATTCCACCCTAAAGTAGTTTAGCAGAATAATAGGACCACCGTAAAGGGAAGATGTGTAGTTGGAAATATGACTATAGTTCAGGGGCGTACTTATTCATTTTCTCTAACTTATTTGGAATTGATCAGCGTAATTGTTATTGTTATATACTCTCTAGTAGTTCAGATTTCATTACATGTACTTTCAAAGGGAAAATACATAAGTACCCCCGTGACCTATACCCGGATTTCCAACTGCACACTTTATCTTTGCGGGGTTTTTATTACCCCCTAAACTATTTTAAAGTAGAATTATTTGCACCCTTAAAGCTGACGTGGCAGAGTGTATGTATTTCACTCTACTTGGGAGAGTGAGAAGCAAGAAAAAATGATTTTCAGATTTTTCTTTTTGCTTTTTTTACCATTTTTTCTTACTTTTTGTCCCTTTTCCTTTTTCTTTGTCCTTTTCTTTTACTTCTTTTTTCGTTTCTTCTCTAGCGAATATCCATTCACCGGCGACTTTGTCTAACCGTTTTTCTTTCATTTATTATATTTTTTTTCCTCTTTATATCTTTTTCACACCCAAATTAAACTCTTAAAAAGAGCTATTCATAAGCAAAGCAAAATATACTCAGATCGGGATAAAATTTGTCGCCGGAAAAAATAGTGTTCTTGATAATCCGACGACCACCATTTTCTGCCACCGGTGACCAAAACAAAAAGAAAGAGAATGAAATAACCAAAAAAATTGAGAATAATAAGAAATAAGAAAAAGAAGAAAGAATAAAAAAAATAAAAATACATGTGGCAGTGCATGTACTTCACTTCTTGTCAAGAGTTTGGTTGTCTAGTTTTAGGGTGGTATTTATTCCATTTAAAATAGTGTAGGGGGTGGGGGGTAATAGGATTCTCGCAAAGATAAAGTGCGTAGTTGAGAATCTGGGTATAGGTCAGGGTGGTACTTATGCATTTTTTCTACTTTTTTTGGTAATTAAATCATTGTATTAACCACCAAAGTAAATATTTACAAGTCAGTAGGTCATCTCGACCTAACTTCCTTACTGGAAAAAAACACTCAACTGACTCTATATCAGACTACCTTCTAATATCTTCTATGTAATTTCTATCTGACTACCTACTCAGTAATTACATTTTGCTAGTAAGACACAAGTATATCCCTCAGCTCTAATGTTGCACATGCATACTACTCTCCTTACAAGAACATCCGATGCTGTTGCTTTTTTCTCAAATTTCTTGCATTTCTTTCAATCCACAATGTGTATGTGTATTCTGGGGCATTTGCATCTATACCCGCTTTTTGTGTCATGTTTTAACTTGTGCCCGCTTTGCAAAAAAAATTGCAAGTGTACCCGCTTTTTCGCATAACTTCAGCATACGGGGCTGAAGTAGCAAAGGAAATCGCGCAAAACTTTAGCATTCTAGTAGCCGGGCCTAAAATTCAGCTCTAGAGCTGAAGTTTTTGTTTTGTAACTGTCGAACTTCAGCTCTAGAGCTGAAGTTTTTGTTTTGTAACTGTCGAACTTCAGCTCTAGAGCTGAAGTTTTTGTTTGTAACTGGTGAAGTTTTTGTTTGTAATTAAGCTTCAGCTCTAGAGCTGAAGTTTTTGTTTTTTAACTATCGAATTTGTAAGCTTCAGCTCTAGAGCTGAAGTTTTTGTTTTGTAAGCTTCAGCTCTAGAGCTGAAGTTTTTATTTTTTAACTATCGAACTTAAGCTCTAGAGCTGAAGTTTTTGTTTGTAAGCTTCAGCTCTAGAGCAGAAGTTTTTGTTTTGTAAGCTTCAGCTCTAGAGCTGAAGTTTTTGTTTTTTAACTATCGAACTTCAGCTCTAGAGCTGAAGTTTTTGTTTGTAAGTTTCAACTCTAGAGCTGAAGTTTTTGTTTTTTAACTATTGACCTTCAGCTCTAGAGCTGAAGTTTTTGTTTGTTAGCTTTAGCTCTAGAGCTGAAGTTTTTGTTTGTAACTGGCGAACTTCAGCTCTAGAACTGAATTTTTTTCTGGAAAAATAAGCTTTTTGTGTTATCGTCCGCTTTGCAGCAACCTCATTTCGTCTAACTCACGCTCAACTTTGCTCAGCCATTTTTATTGCTAAGCAGCTGATATTCGAAAATACAAAACAATTAGAAAATCCTTATGAGGATTTATCTTTATGATATGTTGGAGTCGAAGTCTGGCTTATA